GGTAACAGATACTTAATATCCCTCTGTGGGATCTGGGGTCCAATTTGGATGGGGGGGGGGGGGGGGGGGGGGATAAACTCAATGCTCCACTGAAGATGTCTTGACATGAAAAGTTCAGAGAAATTATTCTTCCATGAAATACAAACTGTCACCATGGCAGTTATCCCTGTTAACCCTTTCACCCGGTGACCTAAGAAAAGAAAAAAAAGCTAAGCTTCCGTACTTTCCATTTTTCAGAAATTCCTGACCCCCCCAAAAAAATTCTTAGAAAAAGGTGTAATTTTTCAAGTTACCACACATAAAAATCGTAAAAATCAATTTATCATCCAAAACATGAACAGAGAATAAACGAAGTAATTAAAAAAAAAAAAATTTATGCAGCAAAGAATCAACTGCCTTTTATCTCCTGGGGCCTGTAAACTAATTATAGCGTGTCACTTACTTGACCATGTGACCTGCTCACCACTGTAGCCAGTGAGAAAACATGATGTAAAATTTTCTACCAATAAAGCCATTCTCTTAGAAGGAAACCCCGCCAAATGCTACTTTTTTTTTTAAATTTAGTCATCCCCAGTCACTGAACGTCTGCACAGATGCGGATGCAATGAATTCTGTTAGCTAGCATCTTGTATACATGTCTCAACAGTGAGTCAGGAGAGCAGCTTTAACGTGGGGGGGGGGGGGGAAGTACCAATCAGAAGTGTGGGTTTTGTGGCTTCTCTGGGCAAAATGGTTATTATGAATTCCAAGGGACAACAAAACCTATTTTTTTTCGGAGGAAGGGGGGGGGGGGGGGGGAGATAAAATGTGTGATAGCGTTGCGATGAAAACCCTGCTTGGACTGAACTGGTTCATTTCAACCAAATGTTCTTAAGCAAGCTCATGTTAACAAGGTTTGACTGTACAAAATGTCACCATGATAGTTTACTATATTTGTTTCAAATTAAGTGACAGTTAAAGTTGAGGGGATCAATTTCATGGCACAGGATTTTACTCTACATGGCTCTGTCTTTCTCTGCAGAACAGCTAAGCTGCCAGCCAAGATATCACACAAAGCACAAATTCCGTAGCTCTAGCGACAACCCACAATAACAGCACTGGTAAACTGAGTGACAGTCAGTGAAATGAATCCGAGCTGGAGGAGAGCAGCTGTACCACCTTGCCAGAGAAACCTCCAATGTTTCAAATATAGCATATTCTACCATGTATAAGACTACATGTTTTCCCAAAGGTCTGCGTTCACATGAGTCAGGTCTGTAAAATAGATGTGCAAGCAACCCTCAAGTTCTGCAACAGGACCAGAAGTGGACAATCTAGAACTTTCCACCTGAGTTTACATACGGCGACAAAAAACATGAAAAATAAGTAAATTGTCATTACGGCAGTAAACATATTTTTCCATGTGTTAAACTTCTCCTTGTATGAGATGGCTATTGTTGTTTTTTTAACCAAAATTGAAAAAAAAAAAAAAATTTTTAATGCACTCCGTATATCAGACAACCCTGAATCTGAACTTGAAAAAAATCTCGCAGCACATACTGTCTTATACATGGAAAAATACGGTACTTTCGATTTCCACACAAATTCATGATAGTCACTGCTGAGGTGGGGTAAGAACTGACATCACAGCAGTAGGAACATTCCCATATGTGCTCTGCCCTCATCTTCAGCAGCCAGTGAAGAAACATTTATTTTTTATCTGAAATACTTTTAAAATGCCATCATGAGAGTTAAATATCTATCATTCTTTGAAATGCAATGGTGACACTATGACAGATATCCTTGTTTGATATACAAAATGGCATCATGATAGATATCCTTGCTTGATGTACGTACATAAAGAATAAATAAAAAACTGCATAGCAGACTAGTAATTCCCAACTCCCCAAATTGTTACAGGGGCCTAGAGAGGAAGAAAAGTACAGTAACACTGCACCCTACCATGCAAGTATATCATAAGCAGCAACTAAGGAAAGTTGACATGAGACTGATTACCTTAAGCTGATTAACTTGAGCTGCAAAATTAAATCAGTCATGGAAGAGAGCCGTTGCTCCACTAAGAGGTGAAAAGCAGAAGAAGAAAACTAGATCTGCTTCTTATTTGTCTGTTTCTGCCCTCTAACCCCCAACGGATCAAAGGCCAGCAACCAACCCAAGCCAAGTGATCCTATCCTTTGCATGTAGCTAACCCTACCAGGACCCTTTTCCATACATTCAGGCATATTGGGCAAGACCTAGATTTTATAGACTACTCAGGACTCTGTGGGGTGATGTGATTGACATCACGCCAGCCACCTTTACTTCCCAGGATTTTACCTGGTACCTATTTAAAGATGGGCCAACCTGGAGCCAAGGTAATTTCTGAAAAAAAAATCTGGCCCCCATCAGGTTCTGAATCTATGGCCATCGGATCCACAGGCATCATCTTATTATTTATCTTCTTAATTTTACTCTCTAGTTCCCTTCTCCATGTGTTGTTTGTTTTTGTCCGCCTCTATCCCTCTGACCCTTTGGGTTCCAGTGCAAAGACATTTAAAAAGTTGAATTGGGTATCCTAAAAAAAAAAAAAAAAAACTGCGAACCAACGCCAGCAAATGTTGGGGGCATGTGGTTTTACTCCTCAATTTTACATTCAGTAGTGTGCCAATGTTTTCTTAACAGATGATGCTCACATGTTGTGAGTGGCATTTAACCCCACTAGGAACACATAATGAGCGACTAACACCCGGTAACACAAACTGCCACCATTCGGACAGAATCCCCCCAGGCGCAAGAACCAGAAACCACTTTCAACCGTAAGATTTTAAGGTCCCCAATGATGGTTAAAAAGTAACCTGAAGTCCAGTCGGGATAGGCTTTAATATCAATAAAAATGGTGTCCTGAACAGGTGACATTATCATCAAAAACAAGTGCAAAAGCAACTTGCTGCCAAATTTGGAACCTTTGTATTTTTCAGAACTAGGGCTGAATTCTTCTGGTGGTACAGATAACATCTTTTAGGAATCATTTTTTAACACTACTGTTTTAGACACTTTGTGATGAGTACTAGCACCTATTAAATTAATGCACTTTGTGGTTAACAGCGGCACCCTTTTTCTAGAATCATGATAATGTGTTCATAATCCTTTAGCCACAGATGCTGACAAGGTTCATTTAGGTTCCAGTATCACAGCAAACAGGTCACCCTTTAGCTTCCTTTGTTCCTGTGCTAGTGGAAACCACAGAAAATGCTCATCACTGTTTCCTTGTGGAAAAAATTGACACAGACTGCAGTCTCAGCAAAGCCAACTGCCTTCACATGCATTAAATGCATAAGGCAGCATCAGAAGTACCAACACCACAAGTCCAAATTTATTTAGGCTAAACCTTAACAAAACAGTGCTGTGACATGTTAAGGATGTCATATCACTTGGTCACAGCTGTATCTAGTCACAGCCTGTTGCAGTCAAGATCAGTCTTAAGATATTTAAGCTGAGATGACAAGCTCCAAATCTGACCAGTTATTCCCACTGCGAATCTGTTTTTTGCTTTTCCAGTCGCAGAGAGGATTCGGCTAAAGTTTCCAGTCTTTGTCAGTTGCGTAGCTTGTCTTAATGTTATAATACTGTGTTTACGTAATGTCTCTTAACTCCCTCCACCCATCTCTTTCTCATCCGGCCTCTTCAGCCTCTCCACAATGAGTGGAAATAAGGCTTGCCCGGACAACCACCTCCGGTGCATGACAGTGAGCCTTAACGAGTCTAGACATTAACCTCCAATGTATGACAACGAGATTAGTCTAGAAATCACCTCATATCTAGGGCAATGAGTACAAATGAGGCTAGAGAATTACCTCTCATCAACTGCTTTGAGGCCCTCTACAGAATCACCTCAGATCTATGACAATAAAGCTGTCAGAAGAATCATCACAGATCTATGACAATAAGGCTGACTAGACCATTACCTTTTATCAATTACAATGAGCTTTAATGAATGAGGCTGGCTAGACAACCACTTATGTTCTACAACACTGAAGCTGTCTAGAGAATACCCTCTGACTTGTGACCCTCAGGCTGTCTAGATAATCATCTCTGACTTATGACACTGAGGCTGTCTAGAGAATCACCTGTGGCTTATGACACTGAGGCTGTCTAGAGAATCACCTGTTGCTTATGACACTGAGGCTGTTTAGAGAATCACCTCTGACTTATGACACTGAGGCTGTCTAGAGAACTACCTGTTGCTTATGACACTGAGGCTGTCTAGAGAACCACCTGTTGCTTATGACACTGAAGCTGTCTAGAGAATCTCCTCTGACTTATGACACTGAGGCTGTCTAGAGAACCACCTGTGGCTTATGACACTGAGGCTGTCTAGAGAATCACCTCTGACTTATGACACTGAAGCTGTCTAGAGAATCACCTCTGACTTATGACACTGAGGCTGTCTAGAGAACCACCTGTTGCTTATGACACTGAGGCTGTCTAGAGAATCACCTCTGACTTATGACACTGAGGCTGTTTAGAGATTAACCTCTGAATTATGACACTGAGGCTGTCTAGAGATTAACCTCTGAATTATGACACTGAGGCTGTCTAGAAAATCACCTCTGAATTATGACACTGAGGCTGTCTAGAAAATCATCTCTGATCTATGACACTGAGGCTGTCTAAAGAATTACCTCTCACTGATAACAATAAGACTTGTCCAGACAACCACATCTGATCTACAGGAAAACTGACAAATTTCCATGGAGAAACAATTACATTTCTAGAAATATCACTTTAATCCAGAGAAGATTTTTCCAGTTATCTGTTTTGTTTTCCTCATCCCAAAGAAGTTTAGTGGTTACATATACATGTCCACAAAATAAAAAAACAATGATTACTCAATCTACCTATTTTCACACATTTTACACGAAGCGTCCAGGTCATAAAATAAAGTGTTGCAACATTTTTACACATCAATTTCTAGCAATTTCACAAAGGAGATCCAATACTAATTTCTGTCTCAGTTCCTGCTAGGTGGGGTGAGGCTTTGTGAAACCGGCTGTTCCGTCAGGTCCTTTGGGCTGTCTTAAAACTGCTATATGTGGCGATGTGGGGTCTGGCTTGATTATCTGTGCTGAGCTGGTTGTGAGAAATAACAATGATGTTATGATAAAGTTATTCCAGGCAAATTTATGCTTTTAAGACTTTCAGTAAAGCAGTTGATAAAAGTGCTATTCGTTATAACTGTGTGTCAACAATGCCAGCCACGGCCAGTCCTAGGAGAACACAAACACAAAATTACGACAAGAAATGTGATGGGAAAAAAAACAGACAAGACAGAATTACCAACGAAGAAATAAGAACAATGGTAGGCACAGTACTGGTAAATGATTTCACGGAACATCAAACAATCAAATGGTTTGGTCACCTGGTCATAATGGAGTAAAATCAGCCAGCAGCAAGAGCATACTACATGAGAACAGCAGGCTACAAGTCAAGAGGTTGACCAAGAAAGAGATGGGTGAGAAAAGCAAAAGACATTAACACAAGCTACGCAACTAGCAATAGACAGGAAACTACATCAAATTCTTCTCTAGGTTTAGGTCTAGACGACGGATCAACATCATGGCACAAGGGTAGTAACACAGAAGTGCTCTGTTCTTCTTCTAACTCAAGCCTGAGTCCGAAAAAGATCAGCGCAGTGTACAGGCTCTGTAGCACCGGCATGGATCCTGAATCACTTTGGGTAGATTTTTAACTCCAAATTTCGTTAGGCTACGCTTTTCGATTTCCAACTGCCAAGGTTTTTTTTAATGACCGCAACAATACACACGGGCGTCCGGTCTCACCACCCAGAGACCAGGGGAAATGACTAGAATACACATGAAAAAATCCCTGCCCTCACCAGGGCCTGCACCCGGGACCTCTAGCACATGAGGCAGACACCACACCCCGATTACACGCAGCCCCCCCCCCCCCCCCCCCCACCCACTCTCTGCAACGCTTTACGGCATAAGCAGTAGGATAAAAGAAAGTAGCAGTACCGTTGTTAATTTATTTTAAACAGGTCAACTGTTCCTTTTCGCTGCACATTTTCCTCCAACAGAGCACAGGCCTTCAAAAAACTCCTGGCATGTTATCCACATCACCAAATGAGTGCTGACAGGTCTATACAAATACAGGTATACAACTATATCAGGTAATCACAGAGTTCCAGCTTCATAGCAGATGGGTCACCCTATAGTTGCTCCATTCCCGTGCCAATTAAAACCACATAGAATGTCCATCACTGTCCCTTGTGAAAGAAAATTTACACAGGCTGCATTCTTAGCAAATCCAACAGCATACATGTGCATTAATTTAATACATAATGCAGCAGTCGGAAGTGTCGACATAAACAGTCTAACACTAGAAATGCAGCAGTTACAACAGATAATTAGTTGCACCACAATTAATCGCATAAGGCACCACAGGTTCTCTGAAGTTCTATGGCAACAGTTCCACAACACAAACCACACTGTGCACAGACAGTGTCATGCCATGCACTCAGCTCAGTAGCTGGGTGACAGAACTATATCCTTTCATCTACATGTCCAAGTCTGGCACTGGTACACAGTGTTTGTATGAATTTGCTGTTATAACAGCTACTGATGTTTCAGTCTTAATAAAGTTTAAAAAAATCTTGTTTCCATTTCCTAATCTATTCTTCCATCCTCTAAGAATAAATTTCCTAGACTCAGACAAAAACATGATAGTAGCGGACTAGGAATTCTGCTGCTGTTCAGTTTTAGCAATGTACCAAGTCTTAGCATGCAAACTGCAATCTACTCCCCTCATTGTAAAACAGGCACTGATCGTCTGCAAATGTTTGTATGGATCTAAAGGTTGCCTTTTTTTCTATAAAATCTGTTTTTCCTTTGTCACACACCCTTTGCGAGTTTAGCGCGCATACTGATGTTAAAATTCAATGTCCTGAATGGTTAATAAGTGCGAAGTGAATTTTTCAGTCCCATGGTATATAAGTGCATGTGGCTCATTTTTTGGCATCTTGATTTTCCATTTGAACAGTTTGATGGCTATGACTATAATAATCTAGTGCCATTCAAAACATCCTCTAAGAATAAATTTCCTAAAGATTTATTTCTGCACATTCCCGCTTTTGATTCAGAATCATCATCATCTGCCCGGAGAACAGGTACCCCCCAAATGGTTTGATGACTGGCATAGTGATTTAGAAGGCTTTCCTGGAGTACCCCCTTTACTGGCACTTCTGTTTTATTTGCCAGAAGGCTGAACCACTGGATATTTTCTTCAGTTACTTGCTGTGTTTGCTAAAGAAAACAAACCGTTATGCTGAGACAAAGATTTGCTGGAATGGAAACACACAACCCCAAATGAAGTGACAGGGTTTCTTGTACTGTTGTGTATGTTTGTTATTTCATGTTTATACATCTCTCCACTCATCATTTGCTGCCCACCATCATGTCACGGGGGCGTTTTCTATATATTGCTGTCAGATAACATATTTTTGCTGTTGCCTTTTTAGCACCATATCTACAAATGATTTTAAAACAGCAATCTACATTTGTCTTGATATTGTTATCCCTCAGATAGGATAAGTGATAAACAGTTGTGAAGGCCTTTTTTGGGATCTGTATTGTGACAAAGGATTTTTCAGTCGCCTTTTTTGCAACAATCTACAGCCACATTGATGATGATGATTATGTCAGACAAAGTAAAATTCACATTGTTCTCGGTTCAATTTTGTGTCAAAATATTATATATGCTTGTTTGAAAATTTTTTGAAAAAAAATCATCACTATCAGTCTTTATTGTTGTCAGATAAAAGATTTTCCGGTTGCCTTTTTTGCAACCAATCTACAGCCACAATAATTAAAGAAATCTGCTTTTTTTTGTTTATTGTGAGATTGTATCTAAGTATGGCATAGTAAAATACAGATGCAAGGGGATGGGCTTGGTAGTCACTAAGTACATTAGCACACATCCCTGCCTCACACGTGTACTGATTGTAAACATATCATTATATGCCTTCTTGTGTTCTCACTGCGCTTTGGGAAGTGTGGTACATGGCCATGATGTTACCTAGCAACCATTCTTGTATTCAATGTATGGACAGAATTCTCAGTTCAACAACTTTGGCCTCTCTCATCAATGTTCGTTTTAGGGTTTCTTTTGGATTTCTTTGCCTTCTCAATCCTTTTACTTCCCAGTTTAGAGCCTGTTTAGTGATGGCAAAAATAGCGCTACCTTCTTTGTGGCCCGGCTCTCTAACGTAGTTGGCTAAACCGGATTGTGTGGTGACCAGGTGACGAACTCCTTGTGGCCCGGGTTCACTCCCAGGGGTAGGCAGAAAAGCCACATTTCTCCCAGATCTACGGTATTTATCATGGAATCAAGGCCGAAAGGTTGCGATATCCATAATATCCAGCCTATGGGTTAACAACTCATGGCTTCTGGATACTTAAACAAACAAATAAACCTTCTCCATGTTCAACATTTTCCTCAAAGTTTTTTGTTTTTTTTAACTGGTTCCAAATACTGTTTTTATGTTCTATTTAGACAACAATAGACTTCAAGTGAAATCAAATCAACAGAACATCTACAATGACCTCTGACCTCTGATTCTGTATACTACTGCCATAAACAATGGGGGACTCATCGCAAGCTTCACTGTCACCATCATCATCATCATCTGGAGCCAGGTAGCCAAATATCCTAAGCCGTGCCTGTGCATACTCTGCCTCTCTCTGTTGCAGTGACTTGCTGTGTTTTGACAACTTTGAATTACTTGTGGTTCTGTTTGGTAAAACAAGATCTTTAAAAATGGAGAAATTCTTTTAAAAAATACAGAAAATATTTAAACTGAGAAATTCTAAATGTAATATGCAAAACATTTAAAGTGGGGAAATTATAAACAAAATTTGCAAAACGTTTCCGGGAGGCCTAAACAAAATATACAAAACGTTTAAACAATGGAAGTAGAGCTACAGGCCACACACACACACACAAGTGATGGATAGATGGGATATCTGAGGCTGTGAATACCAGCATCTACGCACACACCAAAGCTTGCACCACATAAAGTAAAAGTAAAGGATCCATCTTTGGGCATATAGGGGTAGACCTATATTTTATAGGTTAATCAGCACTTGGTGAGTGATATGGTCAGCATGTAGGCCGCCTTTACTTGCCAGGACTTTAACCTGGCTCACACCAGATGCCTGATAAAAACCTGACGCTGAACAGCAGAGCAGGATCTAGATAAAAGAAGTAGAGGTAACCAGAAAACCACACATGAAGAAAATGTACTTAAAAAAAAATATAAAAAAAATTTAAAAAAAACATGAAATACACAATCCAAACTCACTCTGTACTGTTTGTAAGATTTTGGGATGAAAAGCAAGGCCCTTTTGTGTCTCGGCGGAGGATTCGAACCTGAGGCTGATACTGTGTCCTGCCACTATCTTCTGCTATAATCATACCATCAGGAATGGAGTTTAAGCTTGGTGCCCTAGGAAAGGAAACAAATGTGCTCACATCATGGAACTGCTACTATCATAATCCTAATACCAAACAAACACGTCAAATTTTGTTCTCTTTCAGTTGCCCGAAGGCCTGCTTTATTGAAGACGGTTTCTTTGCTATCTGATTGAATTCGATTCTGTGTGGCGATCATTTTCGCTTAAGTTAGGGTATTTGCTGTTGCATCATGTCTGCTTGATCAGGCTTGGCGGGCGTGTTCAGTTTTTTTGGGAGTGGATTTAGTAGCCCTAAAAAGGGCCGCCATTTTGGCCTGGGGCGGCCTGGAACAGGAATGGACGGGATCTCATCATTGCTGTCTTCTGCTATCAGGTCTGGCGATCGTTTGGTGAGCTCAACTGCTGCTACTGAAATTTTATGTGTGTGTGTGTGTGTGTATATATATATATATATATATATATATATATATATATATATATATATATATATATATATATATATAGAGAGAGAGAGAGAGAGAGAGATACACACACACAGTAACACTTTGATTAACCGTCATTCATTTAGCCATCATTGTTATTTTAAAAAAAAAATTAGTATCAACAACAACAAAACATTTTTAAAATTGTTCAAGCATTACTTTTACACCCTACTGTATACAGATGGAAGTAGAAACAATGTTATTAAAGTCCATCAACGGGCGTGAAATGCAAGAGGCTAATGCAACAAAGATCCTACTTCTGCGTGAGATGGGAAAGATCGCAACACAGAAAGCTCGAGCCACAAAGACACAGAAGGAGATGACAGACTATTTTAAAGCAACATAGGTTTTCGGCCCAGATGAGCATCATTTATATAGTACATTAGAGTTCTATCTAGTCACTTCATAGTTAGTGCATATTTGTGTATGTGTGTTGTGTTGTTCTTTATGTGCTGATGAAGGCTAATCACTGCAACGTCTGTTATTCATTGTGATCGATTTTGTAAAGCTGACATAAACTATTTGTTGTTTCTTGCCCTCTTTTTTTTCCTCTTCTCTATAATTTCCGACCCTTTTAAAAACTCATTACTAATCTTATACTGAAGTTTTTATTAATTGTTTTGTAAAATTTAATATGTGTGTATTATAGATTTTTAAAAGATTTTATTTTCATTTTCATCCTAAGCCCACAGTGAAATTCCGTTACAGTACAGATGTATTGTTATTTCTGTTATCTGTCTAGAACCTGGTCCAGAATGTGTGGATTTAGCAAAGTTTTACTGTGTGTGTGTGTCTGCGAGCACAAGCATGCATGCGTGTCTGACACAGTAACAAATCACTGTTTTTAGAATGCTGACTGGGCATAAGAGACTGGATATGTACCACACACAAAAAATCATGACTCGGGACTGCCCATGTAGGCAGGCCCCCAGGATACCGAAGGTGTGCTACAGGTATGCTCTCTACATGCAGTAGGGAGATCCCAGGTCTGGCAGTCGGCACGGTGGAAAGATCAATATGGACTAATATTGCATAAGTGGATACCATGCAACAGTACGCAAACACTGCAGGGAATCATGGGGATATACTGTCCGGAAAATGCAGGAGTTCAAGGAAATGAAAGAGCTGATTTTCTGGCTACAAAAGTGAAAGCTACAGGAACACTTGTATTGGACAGAGGAGATATTCCGAAGACCATTTTTTAAAGACTTCTGGCAGAAGACACGAGATCAGATGAAATAACATGCGTATGAACGAGGAATTAAGAGTCGATCTGGCAAAGCAGATGAGAGGAAGAGATCGACGTGTGTATAATCAGTGTGCTACGGGAACAGTTAGCATCTACACCTTACGTCATTTGCTGCGGGAGATGGAACAGTAAAGGACAACAGCCACACTAGAACCATCAACAAGACCTGTAGTGTTATTTGAAAACCACTGGCAGGAAGAGTGAAAAGAAGTAACTATATCTCCATCTTCTGTCTTTCAACACCAAATGGAGGCTTTCAATTAACTCACTAAAAGCTCTTTATAGACTTTATAAACTGTAGTTGGCATGCATGGTTTATGGTATACTCAGCCACCCTTTTTAAGCAGTAGACTCATGCCATTTTCTAAAATCGCTACTTAGTTGCCTTTTATGGCATGCATGGTAAGTTACATAGTGTCCTGCGTCTGATACACCCATCTGGAAGTATCCTCAGCCATCTCCATTATTGTTTTAAGCCCCAGTGGCAACATTGTCTGGAACCCTCTTCAATATTCAGCTCATATACCCAAGTTAAGGATTCAAATGCATTTATTTTCTATAATCAGGCGTATGTTGCAATCCTTATTCTATCACACAAAACCATGTGTAGGCAAAATGTTGGGTGCACCCAATCTTTCCTCATTATAACTTTCTTGGAAGCTATTGAATAAGTTATGATTTTCACTATTTCTTTGGAGGTATATGGTTGCCCCAATTATAACTTTCTTGGAAGTTGAACAGGGTATCTAGGATTGCTATCCAGGCTGAGATTTTGTAAGGATGGTTAAACTTTTAGGTAACTGCTAGGAGAGGGGAAAAACCAGAAGGAAGGACGGAAGGAAGGAAGGACCATTCACATATCAGTGTAGCATCACGAGGACGTATGAGCTAAGATAATTTTAGTATCCATGACTTTCCTAGTACCCTCCTTTGGGTCGACTAGGAGCTTGAGTCAATGTGTGGTTTTTTTTTCTCCCAAATCAGCATGAACTATATACTTAGTCTATAATGACACTATTTTCTTCCCCTCTTATGTTTGGCCTTGAACAAGCATCAGTGATCATGACTCTCTGCAACTCCATGGCATGTGATATTTTAATGAAGTTTACTAGAAAAAAAAATGTAAATTTAAATAAGACACAATACTTTGCACAATTTATTGGCTAGTATATTTTGCTGCATCTCGCCAGGGACATTACTAAAAAGTTAAATCAACATTTAAATGAAGCACAAAAATGAACCCTTTCACTGAAATTTAAAAATCAGTGTCAAGTTTGCAATTTTTTTTTAATTACATGATTAATTGTTTCTTTTATGAAAATTTTCAAGATAAATCTGTCTCTTTTTTCTTCTGCCTCTCTTCTCTATTAATTTCCTGCATTTGATTATGGTTCTTCACTCCCTCTTTTACTGTTTCAGGTGTCAAGCTACCAGGTTCTGCTTCTGGCCACCTTAACATTAGAAACATTTTACTCTTGCAGAATTTCTATGATGCTATCTTTCCATCTTGTTCCTGGTCTACGTCCCTCTTCTCTTTTGGTGTTTTTATCTTGTATGGTATGGAATTGCACACTGTCTAATTTCTGTATTTTAAAATTATATGCCGTCTCCCACAATGAATTTTGGTTGCTGTTGATACATGCATTTACTGCTGTCTTCTGGAATATTACGGGGTGTGGCTTCAATCTCTTCCAGGGTGTGACTTTTGTACCATAGAATGCTATGAAAACAGTCTTTTTCAAAACTGTGGACTATAAACCTTGGTATGTTAAGAACTGTGAAACATGTTCACTTAACCTTTAAACTACAGAGCTGAGCTAAGAACTAATATCACAGCACTCAGAGCTTCCCATAAGCACTCCAACACCATCTTCAGCAGCAGTGCAGAGTTCCCATTATGGTGGTACCAGCAGCTGTCTGATTGTATGTCCGCCTTGCCCATCGTCTGAGTGTTGAATGACTGTCACTTTCCGCTGCGCCATTGTTTCTAGACCACTATTTCTGCTTCATTCACTCCCAAAAAGGGCTTTGACCACATTTCGCTTCCCATGCATTAAGTCCCCACCAGTAGTGCAGAACCAGCAATCTGTCTGTTTATTTCCCAAACCTTAAAGATGATATACAAAGGGCACTAACTACTGGGACTTCTGAAATAATGCTTGTGACACCCCCCCCCCTTTTTTTTTGTTTTCAAGCCACAATCACTATCAATTCTGTTTCTTTCATTTTCTTTTTCAAGAAATTACTGGCTGAGTAGATATTGTCAAACCTCTTTTTCTGGCAGTATGCAATAACAGCACCATTCTGTAGACATATTTTTTTAAAATTCAAATCTACTTAAACAAGCACTTTGTGGAGTATAGACATCTTTTTACTGGCTGAGTAGATATTGTCGAACCTCTTTTTCTGGCAGTACGCAATACTAGCACCATTTTGTAGACATATTTTTTTTCATTCAAATCTAAGACACTTTGTGGAGTAGAGACATCTTTTTAGACATTTTGTGGTGAGTACTACTAAAACCTTTTTTTTTTTTTAAAGAAACAAAAGTTTTGGATATTGTCAATAAGGACTCTCCACTTTTTTCTGTCATCTGATGTTTTAATAAAGTTTAATGTGTTACACGGCTATTTAAACTTACCACAGTTATCTTTCAGCAGTGATCTGCAGCTTTTGAAAAGCGACAATACATCACAAAAACAAAGTTTCACATATGAAGTGTTAATATATTGTAAGAATGAAAAATAGTATCAGACATTATAAATATTCCCCAAGACAGATTACACAAAATTAATACATAATCCAATCAATATTAAATAACAAAAAGTAAGTGATCAGCATAAATATCAAACACAGTAAAAGAAAGGGAAAATTATATATATATCTCAATTATAAACTAAGAATACCCTGGTACTATCTGCCACAGTGAGCCACATTAAAACGTTACAATGGGTATAGAGCAAGTGGAAGACCCCAGAAAACTTTAAGTGATGGCATTAAGAACAGCCGTACAGAAATGAACATCAGTCTTTAAAGTGCTCTTGACAGAGCTCATCAACAAATGTTACATTCCACCCCCCCCCCCTCCCCCGACACTTCACTGAGGTACAAGGTGGAAGAGAAGAACAACAACCCAGGTGGGTGGAACAGGATTTGTTTCACTGGTAATACTTGTCTCAATTAGTATTTTTCCCACGTAAGACTACCTTCACTATTTAAAATCTTTTGCTGGTCAGCCCTACATTTGTCATTCATATTTTTCTCAGTTTTAATGAGTGACTAACACTTACTACTTGTAAGTCTTATCATCTCAGAATTATTTGATTGCTTGTTCGCTCTTCTTAACATTATTTAAGACATGTTTTTAAAATTATCTAACCACTCACTGTACAATATCTGTTGTAATCACAAGCCAAAAGGTGTCAACAGCAAAATATTTTTTTTTAAATAATAATAATAATGTCAAGAACTACATATATATCTAAAAGCAATTAAAAATCATTGGACGTATGTCAACAATTTTGCAGAAGAAACGTAACAACTGACACCAAAAAAGCACTATTCAATACAGTATTTTTATCAATATTGTGTTACAAGTGCCAAATATGGATATTAACAGCAAAATGAACAAGAGAAATTGAAAAAGCAGAAATTGAATATTTGTGACGAACCCTTAATGATACTAGAACAGTCAGGATCAGAAATAATGACATCAGAAAAGAACTTGGGATGGAACCAACACTAAACTACATCAAGAGACAACAGATCAAATGGTTTGGACATGTGTCAAGACTAGCACCAGTCAGTGCACCAGAGAGCCCTATCACAAACACATTGGAAATAGAGCAAGAGTTCAACAACGCAAGCTATGGATAGATGGAATATCTAAGGCCATAAATACAAGCACTTACATAGCTCACACAAAGGCTTGCACCCAATGTCTCTTTAAAACCTGACGCGGAAAGGAACAACAGGACTACAAACGAAGAAGATGAACCGGCACTTTTTCCTAGAAAAAAGTTCTGTGTGTATAAAGTAAGTACAGGACCCTTTTCCAAGCCTTTAGGCGTATAGGGGATATAGGGCTAGATATTTTATAGATCAATCGGCACAAGATGGGTGATGTGGTCAGCATCATGCTGGCCACCTTTACTTCCTGGGACTGCACCCGGTACCCATTCTAGGCTGTGTCGACCTGGGAGCCAATCCACGACCTTCCAATCTACAGGCGAGCATCTAGCCGCTCCGCCTCCCCTCTGTGAATACATCCACATAAACTGCTAAGCAACGATTATCAACAGAAAAAACTGCTTACTGTTTCCTTCTTTCTTCTTTATGTTCAATGTCAAGAGCCATTTCTTCTAACCTTTTGTCCAAAATCTGTTGGGGGAAAAATGTCAGAAGAAACAAGGGAATTAGAATCAAAGCAATTTATTTAGGTAGCAATGCAGGCAAAGTAAAAGATGGGTGAATGTGTCACAGGATTGCTGAAGCCTGGGTGCTCAAGCAACGTGCCCCCCCCCCCCACAAAACTTTAGCTTCCCTTTATGCGTGTAAAAGGGCTAAGCACCCCAATCACCCCTCACTTTTCCCAACTATGTACATAAATTCTCTTTAAGTGTGTTAAAACTAGGGCTGTACCGAATTTTCGCTTCGTATTCGCTTCGGGGCCCGAATAGTGGACCTAATAACTATTCGGTATTCGGCTGAATAGTTGCGGTCGGGCCGAATATGAATAGTGGTTACCTTACTCCCGTTTCTGCATACACTGTGATGGACTGAAATAACTCTCTCATTAACACAATAGTTGCTGTTGCCTTAGCGTGTCGTAGCGGGGGAAACTGCGACCCGGTTGCGTGGTACAAACTGCATAAAATGCCAACCGCAGTGTGTGTGTGTGGTGTGTATGTATCTGTGTGTGAGAGAGAGAAAGAGAGAGAGAGAGAGAGAGAGAGAGAGAGAGAGAGAGAGAGAGGGGGGAGAAAGAGAGAGATCATGCATTTTTTGTTTTTTTCAGGGTGTCTTTGCCAAAATCAAATCTGAAAATATTGCTAACGAGAATATGTAGGTGCGTTTAAATTACATCGAACGAACGGCCGAGCGAACGATGGTTTTGAAAGAGGCAGGAGCCCAAAGACAACTAATCACAGACATCAGAAGGAGACAGTCATCCTTTTTCAGCCATGTTATGAGAAGAGGAAAAATGGAACATTTGGTGACCACTGGAAAGATCTGTGGAAGGAGGGATAGAGGAAGGCAACGACAGAAGATTCTTGACAGTCTTGTTGCAAGGCATGGAGGTGTGTCAGCACACGAACTGATACATGCTGCAAGAGATAGCAGATCGTGGAGAGGCATGATCGCACACGCGTCGGCAAGTCACCTGATGATGATGATACACTATTCGTATTCGGCCGAATAGTGAAAATAACTATTCGGTACAGCCCTAGTTTAAACACTTTATACTGTTTCAAATATACCATTTTATTTTTGTGCCATTTTGGCACATAATAATAATTATTATTATTCACTTAAAAACTAGGCTTGAGTAAATAAGTAGAGTGAACTTTTAGATATTACATTAAAATCTGAATTTCTGCCCCCTATTTTTTTTCAGAGGCATGTCTTCATAATACATTGATTGGTCAAGTAAATTTATTTGTTGTCATTTACGTTAAACTGAGCTGAGTTGAGCTGAGTCAAGAAGACATCACAGCACTCTAGGCATTTCCATAAGCGCTCCGTCCCCATCTTAAGCAGCCAGTGCAGAGTTCCATTACTAATAGTACCGCATCGGGTTGAGGTGTGAATTATATGCAGGGAGTCGCAAAGAAGTGTGGCTGTATTCATTCATGATTTTGTCAATGTGATACACCTTTGTCTTTTTTGTTTTCCTCATAACCTGCAACAGCTCTGCCTTTAACAAATAATATTCCTTCCACCTATACTTTTTGAAATGTCAATACTGCATTTTGATTTCAATGTTTATTTCAGATTTTGGAGGGTAACAGGTTGATTTGTCTCTTGACATTTTTAAGATCTCACATTTAATGACATCTACATCAATGGCGTCAACTTTCCTTGTCTTTCCTTGCTTGACTTGAGTGTACTCTGTATCCTGCATAATCCAACAGTTGAACGATGTTCTATCCGGACCAAACGTCAATAGTGTTCGTTTCTCTGGGTCATGAATTTCACAATATAAATGACCCATCTTAGATTCCACGAGGAAGTGCTGGTACAGTAAAACGGTAACCTTCTGCATAGTTATAAATTTGCTTGTCAAATTTATTTTGAAATTGATGACTATGTCAGCTTTTATAAGCTAGTTATATGACACAATAACTCAACACTAATTTGTGAATGCGCCTTTGACTAAACAATCTTGACCGACGTATTTTGGCATCAAGTCACTAAGAGTGCGTTTGTGTATGAGAAAATCATGAAATTACGTAGGTTTTCTCTGACCCCTGTTAAACCAGTCATAGTGTGCATTACTTCCTGAAATGAAACTAATGAAAGTAAACCTTCCAAAAGTCTACCAAGACGGTTTCATGATAAAAATATATATCGTAAAGAAGAAAAAACTACATATGATCTTCTTTAGTGACAAAAATATTTCCTTAACAACATGGGTATTCCAAGGCTGCATGCAAAAAATCATTGCGATCTAACAGGGATTTTTCGAGAAAATGGCTTGAATGTGTGTTTATCAAATTTTTTTGGACACATGGAGATCACGCAGATCAATATTGTCACATCTCTTATTTAACATATATACAGCAAATCTGGCAAACATTCAGCCCACTAGACCATGCTGAACTTTGACATTTGCAAATGATGTTTTAATGTATCGAAGCGGGTCAGTCAGGAACAACATGACCAGAGACTGGCAAAGTGCTTTGAATGAGATGATGGAGTGGTGTGAACATACAGGGTCATGGGTAAACCCAGAAAAGGCTAGTGTTTTGTGGTGCTCTTTGACTAACAACATCGGGAAGGAAGACTTGCCCAACATATCCATGAAGGGTATTAATGTTGAAAGAAGAGATAAGCTGAAATACTTAGGTCTGACGTTTGATCGCAGTCTGTCCTACATATATCAGGTGGAGCAGACTGATCAAAAGCAAGCATGGCCTGGCGGCACTGAAGATGATGGTGTCGACAAACATGGAACAGAGATTATTGGTCTTTTTGTTCAACCTATTGGTCCTTTCTGTAATCGATTATGCCCTAGGAATATTAACCCTATCTACTTCACAATGTACAAAGCATGAAAGGATTAAAAAAAAAGTAATGAGAATCTTCTTGGGTTGGACACGGGACACCGCAATTAGAACAATGAGGTATATGCTTGGGCTGACATAGGTAAAGTCTAGACTGTGACTGGCGCAAGCCAAGACGTATATGTTAGTTACCAATGATTAAAGGCATCTACTGTATGGTAATTTGAACGATTTAAAAAAAAGATCGGTTGAAAAGAGGTAAGTCATGGATGGCACTAGCTGAAGATACCATCGAGATGGCGGCCTCAGTCAAGCAAATACACAGGGGGCAGGAATGGATCAATATGAACATCCACAACAGCAGTTTCCATCAGATCATTATCATTTTATCTACAACTTCAAGCATGAGAATAGAAGTGGGGGCAATCACTGCAGCTCTGAAGTGGATAGCAGAAAACAAAGCTACCAGACGAATTACTGTGTCTGATTTTCAGCCGGCATTGCAGAAGGTTCGAAAGGGACTAATGTGGCATGTGTCAAAACCATGGATCAGTACGCCAACATTGCAGGAAATCACGTGGATATACTGATGGGAACACTTGTACTGGACAATGGAGATATTCTGAAGATCATACACTAACGACTTTTGGCAGAAGACACAAGATTAGATGAAATAACATGGGCAAGAATGTGTGAAAGAGGAATTAAGTGTGAACCCGGCAAGGAAGGACGGGTGAGAGGAAGAGATAGGCGTGTGAAGAATAAGAATCAGTGTGCTACAAGAAGTTAGTTTAGCATGTGATCTACACCTAATTTCATTTGCTGCGGGAGATGGAGCGTCTATGATGTCGATTCTTAAATCTAAATCAGTAATCAGTGAACGAGCTATAGTTATAGTTATATAGTAGTATTAAAACTAAAAGTAAACTCAGGCCAGTGGTGCCTAACTTCTTTGGGAGAACCTATACCTATAAAAATAAGTTGGTTTCATTTTCATCGATAAAAACGTGTTCTATAGAAAGTGCTGGTCTTACATATTTTCTTCACTGAAAATTTTTTTTACTAAATCTCTCTCTCTCTCTCTCTCTCTCTCTCTCTCTCTCTCTCTCTCTCTCTCTCTCTCTCTCTCTCTCTCTCTCTCTCTCTCTCTCTCTCTCCTCCCTCAACTCTCTTCTCAAAAGTTGTCAAATATAACACAAAATTATCCCTTTAAAAAATATGTAGACCTAGCTATACTGGAGAAGCGCCAATAATAAACAGTCCCCTCTTCCCTCCTAGACCGACGATTTGACAATAAACGCACAGACTTACACCACTGTCTGCCTGTTCTTCCCAGTTTTCCAAATTGTCAGCCTCCTCGTCCGCCATGTTGCCTAAATGAACAACCGGAAACAGTATACAGAATAATCTTTCCTTTATTTCATAATTATGGAAATTAAAACGGGTACTTTTTCTTCTTGGCGTTCACCAGCTGAGGGGAAAATTACGGAAATGGTTGTTTGTCCACTTCTGGACTTAAGTCTTGTTCTAAAACTTGAGTTGTTTGTGCACATCCGTTTTACAAATCTAGTTGATAGCACGTAAACTGTTGGTTCCTCGCCTCTCAGGTACTCTGACTTCAAAGGAAACACCCCTAATAAGTCACCTTTTACGACATGATTGTTATGGGGCCGTGGGTCTATCCCCCCCCCCCCTCCTTTCCAAATGTAGCTCCTGAACCCTTACGGGGAAAAACTAGTATTACACTTTAAATATTCCTTCTCCCCCGTGTGGGTTCCGGGGCCCTATTGTGGGGAAAACAAGAATAGACCCTAGTAAGAGTTACTTTGAAGTCGGAGTGCATCTGCCTGAGAGGCAAGGAACCAGCAATTATTGAATCAGATCTGTAAAAATGATGCACATGCAACACTCAGGTTCTGGAGCATGACTGCAGTTCAGTAGTGGACGAACAACCAGAACTTTACGCCAGAGTGTACAGCTGGTGAACACAAAGAAGAAGAAGAAGAAATATTCCTTTTAACATAAATTGCATTATCGTCTTCTTCTTTTTCGCGTTCACCAGCTATAAACTCCGGGGCTCTCCTCCGAACGGCGTCATAATATTATGGCGGCCATAAAATATCCGAACAG